AAGCATCCATTTTACCAGGAATAAATGTGCTTGCAGCAGCAGCTCTTAGGTAATAAGCATGGTGGGTGTTTAGTCTATGGCCAATTAGTGTGACCCACCTCTTGACAGTGCTGCCCATGTGGGATATTTCAGCCCCTCTGATGCCTTCTCCCTTGCTGCCCTGCACCTGCATCCTCAACGGTCTTTAAATGGTGTTGCTATAATTACCGAGCACGTCTAACTTCATGTAGTTTTTCTGTATGGCACTAATAAGCCAGCAGTGTGAACAGCCTCCCCTGTTTGGTTGCGCATGTCAAAACATACGGTTGATGAAATCTGTGGTAAAGGAGCAAGGGAGATGCTTGTTTTCTTCCAGAATGAGTTGTTCTTTCTTGTGTTACTTTTCCCATGGCCCACCTGAAAGCAAACGAGCTTTTGAATAGTCTCTTGTACTAGGAGCCAGGTTGTCATAGTGTGGTAGGCCGTGCTAGAAGGTTCTCAGTCTGCTCGCTGTCTGCAGAGGCTTTATGGTTTGCTTTTGCCACTAGGATTGCCTAGAGTAAAGTGTTATTTGTTTGCAAGGTTGTGGAGTAGGGTGTGCCTCCTACGAGACTGGTGGCTCTTGTTTAAGTCCCTCGGGGAGTATTTTGTACCCTAACAAGCATGAAGGTTGCGTCAGGAAGCGGGAGGGAAGGTACTGGGGCTGTATATGGTTTTAACTGCAGTTTTACTTGGATGAAAGACTTTCCTGTTTTAGGAGGTATTTGTGAACCTTCGGAAATGACATTTCCGTAGCGGTGGTGGGCTGCTTCGTGCAGCCTGAACGGTGTTTGGGGTGGGAACGGCGCTGGATATGCTAGGGTTTCTTGGTTTCCTAGTACTGAAATTTCAAATAGGTATGCCTGTGACTTGGGGAGGCTGTGGAGAGAAAAGAAATTGCTGGTGAGATTTGTTATGTGGGAGCATTATGTATAAAGGGGAGGGGGTTTGGGGCACCTGCTTTGGAAAAGCTTTGTAAGTGTGCTTGCTCTCTTGGGTCTTTGGTGTGAAATATCAGTGGGAGAAATCCTCAAGGATCTCAGTCCACCTGTGGTGCTCAGGAGCTGTTTGAAAGGGAAGATGGTAAAGGATATAAATACTCTTAAGTAATAAACCCCAACCTGCAATGAGGTTTTACTCTTTGGAAAGGTGGAGCCATTCTCTTCAAGCGTGAGGACAACGTCCCTTTGCTTGCTGTTGCTCAGCAGTTGCTTGGAGCACTTCCACTCCTCATAACAATTGCTTCCCCCTCCCCCATATGTTGGTTATGGATTTGTTTCATTCTGGAGTAAGTGACAGGCATGATTTCAACACGTTACCCTGATAAACGGTGCTTCCGATAGGATGTCCCAAGTAACCTGGAGAAGAGAAATCTCATTACAGAGGGAAGTACTAGGTTTTCTGTATGAGTTGATGTGATGTCGGATTCCACCCGACTAGCTTTCTTTTGATTTGGGGAGCTGAGGGGGAGAACTGCATCACTTTAGGGCAGGAGAGATGGCTTTTACTCTGCCTGCGGAGTCTAGGACACTGGAAAATTGTTTTCTAGCCTGACTGTTAACTGATCTTGCGGCAAGCAAGCTGTCTTTGATCCTTCCGACTGGAATAGTCTTTGTTTAGAGAGGCCTCGGAAAGTCGTCCCTAAAGTTTGCTCATGCTAATGCAAGGCAGGTTTCCTCTCTGCGCTGACAGCTTTGCAGGAAGGATCTCCTGCAAAGCTCGGGCTGCTGTCAGGCCCTGGAGTGCTGTTCCGGTTGCTGCCGAAAAGGTCCTGGGGATCTGTGTCTGGTTTACAGTTTTGTGCAATTTATATCTGGCCAGGAAATAAATTAGCTGCTGGCATTCCTGTGTTTGTGCCATGAGCGTGGAAGTTCTTTTCCCTCATTAGTGGCTTTAGTAAAGTACGTATGGCTGTTTCTGCTGCGGATACCTGAGAGCTGTTTTCTGTGTGACAGACTTAAATTGTTCGTGCCTAACTCCATAGATGCCACGTTCTCTCACATCCTGAGCTGTCTACCTCCTTTTTTTTTCATTTTCTTCCACGAATGGCCAGCACTGCTGGCAGTAGCTGTCTTGTAAGCCTGTGCCTGCCTTCCAGGTCGTCTTTCTGATGCTCACTGTTGAGCTGACGGTGACTTGGGGCTGAGACAGCAATTTGGCTTTCTTTTTCGGTCTTCTCCTTCCTGTTAAGTCAGTAAGAGAAGCTTTAGATTTTGTCCGTAGCTTCAGGTTTTGGCAGTGCACTAATTGTGCCCAAAGAGCATCATCGCTGCAGTTTGCCTTCCCCCTCTGTCCCATGCTGAGAGGTAGGCTGTGGGAGAGGGAGGATTTTGAAAAAGAAACTGATAAATCACACATGACCTTGCAAGATGAATCACAAGTTATTACATCTTTCTCAAATGCAGAGCTGACTGTTGTTAAATCCGTGTTAATCTGTAGTGTGCAGTAGGAAAGTCCCTTTCAGTTAACACATACGTACTCTTCTCGAATCTGTCTTTACGTATCAATAG